CTGGTACCAATAACCTACTGTATTTATAGAGGCTGAGTACTCCTCTGGCTGGTACCAATAACCTACTGTAGATATAGAGGCTGAGTACTCCTCTGGCTGGTACCAATAACATACTGTAGATATAGAGACTGAGTACTCCTCTGGCTGGTGCCAATAACCTACTGCAGGTGTAGAGACTGAGTACTCCTCTGGCTGGTACCAATAACCTACTGTAGATATAGAGGCTGAGTACTCCTCTGGCTGGTACCAATAACCTACTGTAGATATAGAGGCTGAGTACTCCTCTGGCTGGTCCCAATAACCTACTGCAGATATAGAGGCTGAGTACTCCTCTGGCTGGTACCAATAACCTACTGTAGATATAGAGGCTGAGTACTCCTCTGGCTGGTACCAATAACCTACTGTAGATATAGAGGCTGAGTACTCCTCTGGCTGGTACCAATAACCTACTGTAGATATAGAGGCTGAGTACTCCTATGGCTGGTACCAATAACCTACTGTAGATATAGAGGCTGAGTACTCCTCTGGCTGGTACCAATAACCTACTGTAGATATAGAGGCTGAGTACTCCTCTGGCTGGTACCAATAACCTACTGTAGATATAGAGGCTGAGTACTCCTATGGCTGGTACCAATAACCTACTGTAGATATAGAGACTGAGTACTCCTCTGGCTGGTACCAATAACCTACTGTAGATATAGAGGCTGAGTACTCCTCTGGCTGGTACCAATAACCTACTGTAGATATAGAGACTGAGTACTCCTCTGGCTGGTACCAATAACCTACTGTAGATATAGAGGCTGAGTACTCCTCTGGCTGGTACCAATAACCTACTGTAGATATAGAGGCTGAGTACTCCTCTGGCTGGTACCAATAATCTACTGTAGATATAGAGGCTGAGTACTCCTCTGGCTGGTACCAATAACCTACTGTAGATATAGAGACTGAGTACTCCTCTGGCTGGTACCAATAACCTACTGTAGATATAGAGGCTGAGTACTCCTCTGGCTGGTACCAATAACCTACTGTAGATATAGAGGCTGAGTACTCCTCTGGCTGGTACCAATAACCTACTGTAGATATAGAGACTGAGTACTCCTCTGGCTGGTACCAATAACCTACTGTAGATATAGAGGCTGAGTACTCCTCTGGCTGGTACCAATAACCTACTGTAGATATAGAGACTGAGTACTCCTCTGGCTGGTACCAATAACCTACTGTAGATATAGATGCTGAGTACTCCTCTGGCTGGTACCAATAACCTACTGGAGGTGTAGAGACTGAGTACTCCTCTGGCTGGTACCAATAACCTACTGTAGATATAATAATATGCCATTTAGCAGACGCTTTTATCCAAAGCGACTTACAGTCATGCGTGCATACATTTTTTTTGTGTATGGGTGGTCCCGGGGATCGAACCCACTACCTTGGCGTTACAAGCGCCGTGCTCTACCAGCTGAGCTACAGAGGACCACCCATACACTCCTCTGGCTGGTACCAATAACTATACTGTAGATATAGAGGCTGAGTACTCCTCTGGCTGGTACCAATAACCTACTGTAGATATAGAGGCTGAGTACTCCTCTGGCTGGTACCAATAACCTACTGTAGATATAGAGACTGAGTACTCCTCTGGCTGGTACCAATAACCTACTGTAGATATAGATGCTGAGTACTCCTCTGGCTGGTACCAATAACCTACTGTAGATATAGAGGCTGAGTACTCCTCTGGCTGGTACCAATAACCTACTGTAGATATAGAGACTGAGTACTCCTCTGGCTGGTACCAATAACCTACTGTAGATATAGAGGCTGAGTACTCCTCTGGCTGGTACCAATAACCTACTGCAGATATAGAGGCTGAGTACTCCTCTGGCTGGTACCAATAACCTACTGTAGATAGAGGCTGAGTACTCCTCTGGCTGGTACCAATAACCTACTGTAGATAGAGGCTGAGTACTCCTCTGGCTGGTACCAATAACCTACTGTAGATATAGAGGCTGAGTACTCCTCTGGCTGGTACCAATAACATACTGTGGATATAGAGACTGAGTACTCCTCTGGCTGGTACCAATAACCTACTGTAGATATAGAGGCTGAGTACTCCTCTGGCTGGTACCAATAACCTACTGTAGATATAGAGGCTGAGTACTCCTCTGGCTGGTACCAATAACCTACTGTAGATATAGAGGCTGAGTACTCCTCTGGCTGGTACCAATAACATACTGTGGATATAGAGACTGAGTACTCCTCTGGCTGGTACCAATAACCTACTGTAGATATAGAGGCTGAGTACTCCTCTGGCTGTTACCAATAACCTACTGTAGATATAGAGACTGAGTACTCCTCTGGCTGGTACCAATAACCTACTGTAGATATAGAGACTGAGTACTCCTCTGGCTGGTACCAATAACCTACTGTAGATATAGAGGCTGAGTACTCCTCTGGCTGGTACCAATAACCTACTGTAGATATAGAGGCTGAGTACTCCTCTGGCTGGTACCAATAACCTACTGTAGATATATAGGCTGAGTACTCCTCTGGCTGGTACCAATAACCTACTGTAGATATAGAGACTGAGTACTCCTCTGGCTGGTACCAATAACCTACTGTAGATATAGAGGCTGAGTACTCCTCTGGCTGGTGCCAACATCACATCATGCTTTAAAACCTTACAGGGTCTGGTTACATTTAGCTGTATGGGCTAAACTGAATATTGCTCTGTTTTTACAAATCTTGTACTGTGTGTTAGTATGTGTGTGCGTGTGTGTGTGTGTGTGTGTGTACAGTACTCACTCTGAGCATGGGTCCGTTCTGGAACACATGTGGTTCGTCACACACCACACAGAACTCATTCAGGACCGGAGTCCTCTGCTCAGCATACTCCATGGTCTGAAGGCAGAAGACATTAGGAAATGCTCATATATGCTTATAACACGTATCAACTCCTTATACATGTACACATTTTCTTGAAGTAAAGTGTTAAACATATTATTGATAGAAGAGCTTAGGTGTGATTCAGGGAGCATTTACCTGGACAAGGAAACCTCTGTCTTTTATCGGTATGGACTTGGCCCCATTGTTTGGCTGTAAAGGAAGAGAGGGAAGTTTGTTACCTGCCTGTGATCCAAAAAGTTCAACAATCCATGTTTCTAATGACAAATCAAGATCAACCAATCATGAGAGGATGCCTTTTGGATCAACCAATCACAAGCAACCTTACTGACCGGCGGTGGTGTGGCGAGCGAAGGGGCGAGGATCCCGATGAGCCCTGAGGTAAGAGAGAGCCGCCTCCCCTCGGACGGAGCCACAGAGTCCTTGAAGATGTCCACAGCCTTGCCCATCTTGGTACTGCTGGAGTAGGACCTGCAGTAACATGGAGTCACATGCATTGATGAGGTATTACAACCTGCAGTAACATGGAGTCACATGAATTGATGAGGTATTAGGACCTGCAGTAACATGGAGTCACATGTATTGATGAGGTATTAGGACCTGCAGTAACATGGAGTCACATGTACTGATGAGGTATTAGGACCTGCAGTAACATGGAGTCACATGAATTGATGAGGTAGTAGGACCTGCAGTAACATGGAGTCACATGTATTGATGAGGTATTAGGACCTGCAGTAACATGGAGTCACATGTATTGATGAGGTATTAGGACCTGCAGTAACATGGAGTCACATGTACTGATGAGGTATTAGGACCTGCAGTAACATGGAGTCACATGTATTGATGAGGTAGTAGGACCTGCAGTAACATGGAGTCACATGTATTGATGAGGTATTAGGACCTGCAGTAACATGGAGTCACATGTATTGATGAGGTATTAGGACCTGCAGTAACATGGAGTCACATGTATTGATGAGGTATTAGGACCTGCAGTAACATGCCGTCACATGAGGTGCTGCTTTTAGTGTTTGTTGTTGTGTATTTATGTATCATCTGGTGCAAACAAATGTTCCTTTCTTCGGGGACTAATAAAGTACTATGTTATGTTAATATGTTCTCTCATCTTACCTGCTGAGCAGGTGGTGGTGTTTCAGTCCATCCAGCTCCTCCGTCCTGATAGAACCAGAGCACGACCTACTGAGCAGCCTGTGGTGCTTCAAACATCCCCCGAGACTACCTCCACCGAGACTACCCCCACCACCACCACCACCACTACCCTCGCCCATCCCACCACCACCTCCCCCAAGACTACCTACACTCCCTCCACCACCCAGGCCCATCCCACTTCCTCCCACCCCCGCGTGCTCACAGCGGGGGTCGCCGGAGCACGAGCGAGGCAGGAGCTTGTGGGGAGCGGGGCGGAGGTCCTCTGGTTTGACCACAGCCGTGCAGGGCCTGCCCAGGCGGTGGGGTTTGAGAGGCAGTGGTCCGGGGCCGGGCCCTCCTCCGTGGTCCATACGGGGGTCTCCGCTGGACAGGGAATGGCCCAGGAGACGGTGGGTGGTCTTGGTCCCAGGGACCGCGGGGTCGCAGCCGTCCGCCTCGACCTGCTGTTTGACGGTGCTGGTGCACGTCCGGCGGAGAAGGCGGTGGGATTTAGAGACGCCATCTTGTTCTGGCTTCAGCTTCTTCTTGCTCTTGACGCAGCCGGGAGGCGGGTAGCTGGGAGATCTGAAGATGAAGATAACTTTATTGTCCAAATGATGGGAACGGAAAGAGTAAACTCAGGCTCAATTCTGCCTAACCAATCAGAGAGCAAGGTGGAGATACTACCATATCATACCTATCTGATCCTTTCAGATACAGAAAGTGCCTATGTGGTAAGGGACAAGAAACGTCTGTAGTTTAAAATATAGTGACAGACTGGTTCATATCAATCATTCTGTTAAGACATCAAATGTCAGCGTTATGATGTCTCTCTGACCTGCGGAGCGTTGAGAAGATGTGGAGGGGAGACTTGACCTTCTTGTCACCCTTGTTTTTGTTGTGAGGGCAGTTGAGCTTCTCTTTACTTTGGTGTTTCCACTGCTGGGTGACAAACGTCTGCATTATCCTGAAGAGAGGAAAAAGGATGTAACGTCTACGTTATCTTTGTGAGAGAGAAGAAACAAACGTGTTACCCAACGAAGGGATCCACAATTCAACAGATTCGGCTAATGACCTTCAAAAGACTGACATTACCTTGTCTGCTCTAATGTTAACTACTAACTGAGAATTGTATCTAGTTGTAGAAAAATCATTGTATCTATTAAAACCCACTAGAGTCAATTGATAATAATAATAATAATAATAATAATAATAATAATAATAATAATAATAATATGCCATTTAGCAGACGCTTTTATCCAAAGCGACTTACAGTCATGCGTGCATAAATTTTTTTGTGTATGGGGTGGTCCCGGGGATCGAACCCACTACCTTGGCGTTACAAGCGCCGTGCTCTACCAGCTGAGCTACAGAGGACCACGATTGCGTCAATCTAAGTTACATAACAAAAAAAATCCCCATTAAAATCCAGCAATTTAAGCTACAGACGTGTTTTTTTGCATTGGATGCGTCTCAATCCACCACATCCGCCAGTGTCGCACTTCCGCATCTGCGGTGAAAGGTTGCCACCTACAGTGCCTTCGGAAAGTATTCAGACCCCTTGACTTTTTCCACATTTTGTTACGTTACAGCCTTATTCTAAAATGGATTACATTTTTTTAAATCCTCAGCAATCTACACAAAATACCCCATAATGACAAAGCGAAAACAGGTTTTTAGAAACGTTTGTAAATGTATTAAAAATAACAGAAATACATTATTTACATAAGTATTCATTCTGTAGTGTTGAAAGGTGCTTGTGATATTAGAACCATCTGTCACTTACATTTACATTTTACATTTTAGTCATTTAGCAGACGCTCTTATCCAGAGCGACTTACAGTTAGTGAATACATATTTTATATATATTATTTTTTTATACTGGCCCCCCGTGGGAATCGAACCCACAACCCTGGCGTTGCAAACGCCATGCTCTATCAACTGAGCTACATCCCTGCCGGCCATTCCCTCCCCAACCCTGGACGACGCTGGGCCAATTGTGCGCCGCCCATGAGTCTCCCGGTCGCGGCCGGCTGCGACAGAGCCTGGATTCGAAACAGGATCTCTAGTGGCACAGTTAGCACTGCGATGCGGCGCCTTAGACCACTGCGCCACTCAGGAGATACTTACTTCTTCATCTGATGTCCCAGTCCAAACCGGTCTTTAGTGGACGTCTGGAACACATCCACTGTGGGGACCGGTCCGTTCAGGTACTGTGTCAGAGAGCAGTGGAGACGCACGATCACCGGCTCCCTCCGGATCACGTCCCACGCTAGGGCTATTTCCTCCTGATGACCCCCCAAAAAATAAAAAAATGACATAAGAACAATGAAGATCATAAACGGGTCTATTTTTTTTTTTTACATCCTGTTGACATATTCAATGATATTAAATGGAGTCAATCCGCTAAACCATGTTAGGTTAGGGTGTAGACCTACAAGGTTAAATGCAGTCAATACACTTGTGTGCCTGAATTGTATTTTTCAATTGTCAAATAAATCTGATATGCAAGTGTTCGGCTCATCAGATATATCAGATCAAAACGACTAAATGAAAAGCAACAAAATGGAAGGAATGGTAATTACATTTACATGTTAGTCATTTAGCAGATACCAATTAGAAGGTAATACTAATAATACTATAATACTAATAATACTAATAATACTATAATACTAATAATACTAATAATACTATAATACTAATAATACTAATAATACTTACATCTAGGAAACTGACGTCGATGTGGAGATCAATGTCCACATCGTCAATGGCACCATATTCCCTACAATAGATTAGAAAGATGAACATATTGCATATTTTCTAATCAAATCAGAGTCAACGTGCAGATTATTTCAACCAAAGCTATACTTTGATATTTTCTGCATTGTCTCTTGGCTACTTTGAAATGTCTGTAACAAAGATGTTGATCGAGAGCCGTTTCATCTTGAAAACATGTTTGAAGTTGTATATCAGCATTACAATGAACATGCATTATTCAGCACAGCTACCCTTTCATATCTTATTCTCAACATAGAATGGTGCAACCCCCCCCCCACCCCCATGCTTCACCGTAGGGATGGTGCCAGGTTTCCTCCAGACGTGACGTTTCATCAGACCAGAGAATCTTGTTTCTCATGGTCTGAGAGTCCTTTAGGTGCCTTTTGGCAAACTCCAAGCGGGCTGTCATGTGCCTTTTACTGAGGAGTGGCTTCCATCTGGCCATTCTACCATAAAGGCCTGATTGGTGGAGTGCTGCAGAGATGGTTGTCCTTCTGGAAGGTTCTCCCATCTCCACAGAGGAACTCTGGATCTCTGTCAGAGTGACCATCGGGTTCTTGGTCACCTCCCTGACCAAGGCCCTTCTCCCCCGATTGCTCAGTTTGGCCGGGGGGACAGCTCTAAGAAGGGTCTTGGTGGTTCCAAACTTCTTCCATTGAAGAATGATGGAGGCCACTGTGTTCTTGGGAACCTTCAATGCTGCAGAAATGTTTTGGTACCCTTCCCCAGATCTGTGCCTCGACAGTCCTGTCTCGGAGCTCTACGGATTATTCCTTCGACCTCATGGATTGGTTTTTGGTCTAACATGCACTGTCAACTGTGGGACCTTATATAGACAGGTGTGTGCCTTTCCAAATCATGTCCAATCAATTGAATTTACCACAGGTGGACTCCAATCAAGTTGTAGAAACATCTCAAGGATGATCAATGGAAACAGGATGCACCAGAGCTCAATTTCAAGTCTCATAGCAAAGGGTCTGAACACCTATGTAAAATATGCATTTGTTTTTAATTTTGTATAAATTTGCAAAACAATCTAAAAACCTGTTTTCGCTTTTTGTCATTATGGGGTATTGTGTGTAGATTGATGAGAAAACATTTTTTATTTGAACCATTTTAGAATAAGGCATGTTACGTAACATGTGGAAAAAGTCAAGGGGTCTGAATACTTTCCGAAGGCGCTGTATATTATTATTACCTGAGAGATACTGCGTGATGTCCGTACATCTCCCGGACCGCCGCCAGGTCCGCCTCCAACTGGGGGTGCTTGTGGAGCTCGCCATCAGAGTTCACCTATCAGAGAGAGACGTCAATAAATCAATGAAACGTGTTTTAAATATTTTTTTTCTCCCATCAGCAGCACCTCTTCACAGTAGCTTAGACCCCAAAGAGCAAGCAGAATCACAGGCACAGTGACCCGGCAAAAACTCCCTAGAAGAACGATACCGAGAGAGGAACCTGGCTCAGAGGGGAGACCTGAAAGGACTGCTTTAACCGTGGTCCCTTTTCCCTCCCCTCCACTAAACTGTAATGATTGGCCAGATCTCTAGAGAGACCCAAAACACGACAAATCAGCTGCCAAGGACATTTTGTGCTTTTGTCAGACAAGACCAAAAACACAGCAGAACAATAAACGGGTTTGCCCTACAGTATACACACTGGGCGAAACTGATTGAATCAACATTGTTTCCACGTCATTTCAACAAATACATTCAATGTGATGACGTTGAATCAACGTGAAAAACTGATTGGATTTGCAAAAAGTAAATCAACGTAAAGGAATTTCATTTTTTTTTTTCACCCAACCTTTAACCTAAATCCAATGACATGGTGATTTTTTTCTTTGTTAATTTCACGTTGAATTCAACCAAAATGTTATCAAAGCTAGACATTGAAATGCCATCTGTGCCCAGTGGGTATGCTTTAATCTGAACGTTCCAAATACTCACAGAGAACAAATGAGTTTCACTGAGAAGAGAAGGAGACTTGGTGGGCCTGTGTCCCAAATGGCACCCTATTCCCTATATAGTGCACTACTTTAGACCAGATAATGGCACCCTATTCCCTATATAGTGCACTACTTTAGACCAGAGATTGGCACCCCTATTCCCTATATAGTGCACTACGTTTGACCAGAATAGTAAAAAAAAAAAAAAGTAGTGCACTACATAGGGAATAGGGTGCCATTCTCTGGTCTAAAGTAGTGCACTATATAGGGAATAGGGTGCCATTCTCTGGTCTAAAGTAGTGCACTATATAGGGAATAGGGTGCCATTCTCTGGTCTAAAGTAGTGCACTATATAGGGAATAGGGTGCCATTCTCTGGTCTAAAGGAGTGCACTACATAGGGAATAGGGTGCCATTCTCTGGTCTAAAGTAGTGCACTATATAGGGAATAGGGTGCCATTCTCTGGTCTAAAGTAGTGCACTATATAGGGAATAGGGTGCCATTCTCTGGTCTAAAGTAGTGCACTATATAGGGAATAGGGTGCCATTCTCTGGTCTAAAGTAGTGCACTATATAGGGAATAGGGTGCCATTCTCTGGTCTAAAGTAGTGCACTATATAGGGAATAGGGTGCCATTCTCTGGTCTAGAGTAGTGCACTATATAGGGAATAGGGTGCCATTCTCTGGTCTAGAGTAGTGCACTATATAGGGAATAGGGTGCCATTCTCTGGTCTAAAGTAGTGCACTATATAGGGACTAGGGTGCCATTCTCTGGTCTAAAGTAGTGCACTATATAGGGAATAGGGTGCCATTCTCTGGTCTAGAGTAGTGCACTATATAGGGAATAGGGTGCCATTCTCTGGTCTAAAGTAGTGCACTATATAGGGAATAGGGTGCCATTCTCTGGTCTAAAGTAGTGCACTATATAGGGAATAGGGTGCCATTCTCTGGTCTAAAGTAGTGCACTACATAGGGAATAGGGTGCCATTCTCTGGTCTAAAGTAGTGCACTATATAGGGAATAGGGTGCCATTCTCTGGTCTAAAGTAGTGCACTATATAGGGAATAGGGTGCCATTCTCTGGTCTAAAGTAGTGCACTACATAGGGAATAGGGTGCCATTCTCTGGTCTAAAGTAGTGCACTATATAGGGAATAGGGTGCCATTCTCTGGTCTAAAGTAGTGCACTATATAGGGAATAGGGTGCCATTCTCTGGTCTAAAGTAGTGCACTATATAGGGAATAGGGTGCCATTCTCTGGTCTAAAGTAGTGCACTATATAGGGAACAGGGTGCCATTCTCTGGTCTAAAGTAGTGCACTATATAGGGAATAGGGTGCCATTCTCTGGTCTAAAGTAGTGCACTATATAGGGAATAGGGTGCCATTCTCTGGTCTAAAGTAGTGCACTATATAGGGAACAGGGTGCCATTTGGGACGCATCCAATATAAACAACCAGCTACCTCCCCAAGGTGTCATCTCTTATTCTGTTTCATTGGCCGGTTCAATTTCTGGGAAGAGCAAAATGAAATCCAATTTTTTTACTGGAACATTAATGAACAAATTCACCCTACAGCTGTCCGGACACATTAACCAAATGAGTCCCACCGTATCGCTGGTGAGTTTTGGACTTCTAACCACTTTTAAACATTGTGTGCAGATTAATGAAGGTCAGATAAATAGGTCCCCTACGGCTGTCCAGACATTAAACATTAAGTCCCCTACAGCTGTCCAGACACACTCAAGACAATAGTGGAGTTACTGCATCATACATTTTTGCTTTAACTCTAGGGGGTGTGTAGAGTACTCAGACAAAACGAGTATCGTAACGGATATGGAGAATGTTACAAATTACGATTACGACAAGTATTTTTTGGAATTCTGCGTGATCGGAAAAAAAAATACATTTTTCAGCTGCCAGCACACATCTCTCTTTCACTAAAACAGTGTGAAGAGCTGTGTGCTGTAAACAACTATTGGCTAGTTATTCTGTCTGTAAAGAAACAGGCGGGGTATCTGTTGATTGGATTAGAACAAGCCACTCTCCCTCGGACAGGCCATATGGTTGTTTTAGTCTCTACTTGACTGAGGCCATATGGTTGTTTTAGTCTCTACTTGGCTGAGGCCATATGGTTGTTTTAGTCTCTACTTGGTTGAGGCCATATGGTTGTTTTAGTCTCTACTTGGCTGAGGCCATATAGTTGTTTTAGTCTCTACTTGGCTGAGGCCATATGGTTGTTTTAGTCTACTTGGCTGAGGCCATATGGTTGTTTTAGTCTCTACTTGGTTGAGGCCATATGGTTGTTTTAGTCTCTACTTGGCTGAGGCCATATAGTTGTTTTAGTCTCTACTTGGCTGAGGCCATATGGTTGTTTTAGTCTCTACTTGGCTGAGGCCATATGGTTGTTTTAGTCGGTCTACTTGGCTGAGGCCATATGGTTGTTTTAGTCTCTACTTGGCTGAGGCCGTATGGTTGTTTTAGTCTCTACTTGGTTGAGGCCATATAGTTGTTTTAGTCTCTACTTGGTTGAGGCCATATGGTTGTTTTAGTCTGTCTACTTGGCTGAGGCCATATGGTTCTTTTAGTCTGTCTACTTGGCTGAGGCCATATGGTTGTTTTAGTCTCTACTTGGCTGAGGCCATATGGTTGTTTTAGTCTCTACTTGGCTGAGGCCATATGGTTGTTTTAGTCTCTACTTGGCTGAGGCCATATGGTTGTTTTAGTCTGTCTACTTGGCTGAGGTCATATGGTTGTTTTAGTCTCTACTTGGCTGAGGCCATATGGTTGTTTTAGTCGGTCTACTTGGCTGAGGCCATATGGTTGTTTTAGTCACTACTTGGATGAGGCCATATGGTTGTTTTAGTCTCTACTTGGCTGAGGCCATATGGTTGTTTTAGTCAGTCTACTTGGCTGAGGCCATATGGTTGTTTTAGTCTCTACTTGGTTGAGGCCATATGGTTGTTTTAGTCTCTACTTGGCTGAGGCCATATAGTTGTTTTAGTCTCTACTTGGCTGAGGCCATATGGTTGTTTGAGTCGGTCTACTTGGCTGAGGCCATATGGTTGTTTTAGTCTCTACTTGGCTGAGGCCATATGGTTGTTTTAGTCTCTACTTGGCTGAGGCCATATGGTTGTTTTAGTCAGTCTACTTGGCTGAGGCCATATGGTTGTTTTAGTCTCTACTTGGCTGAGGCCATATGGTTGTTTTAGTCTGTCTACTTGGCTGAGGCCATATGGTTGTTTTAGTCTCTACTTGGCTGAGGCCATATGGTTGTTTTAGTCTCTACTTGGCTGAGGCCATATGTTGTTTTAGTCTCTACTTGGCTGAGGCCATATGGTTGTTTTAGTCTGTCTACTTGGCTGAGGCCATATGGTTGTTTTAGTCTCTACTTGGCTGAGGCCATATGGTTGTTTTAGTCTCTACTTGGCTGAGGCCATATGGTTGTTTTAGTCTGTCTACTTGGCTGAGGCCATATGGTTGTTTTAGTCTCTACTTGGCTGAGGCCATATGGTTGTTTTAGTCTCTACTTGGCTGAGGCCATATGGTTGTTTTAGTCTGTCTACTTGGCTGAGGCCATATGGTTGTTTTAGTCTCTACTTGGCTGAGGCCATATGGTTGTTTTAGTCTCTACTTGGCTGAGGCCATATGGTTGTTTTAGTCTCTACTTGGCTGAGGCCATATGGTTGTTTTAGTCAGTCTACTTGGCTGAGGCCATATGGTTGTTTTAGTCTCTACTTGGCTGAGGCCATATGGTTGTTTTAGTCAGTCTACTTGGCTGAGGCCATATGGTTGTTTTAGTCTCTACTTGGCTGAGGCCATATGGTTGTTTTAGTCAGTCTACTTGGCTGAGGCCATATGGTTGTTTTAGTCTCTACTTGGCTGAGGCCATATGGTTGTTTTAGTCTCTACTTGGCTGAGGCCATATAGTTGTTTTAGTCTCTACTTGGCTGAGGCCATATGGTTGTTTTAGTCTCTACTTGGCTGAGGCCATATGGTTGTTTTAGTCAGTCTACTTGGCGTTGTTCAGTAGACTTACTTTGTCTTACTGTATAATCATTCCATTGCTGACCACGTCTGTCGTTATGTCCTGATCCAAGCTTGCTTGCTGTTATTATGTCTACTCTCCCAGTTTACAGAGCGACAGATCATTAGAAACATTAGAATTTTTTTGCAAATGTATTAAAAATAAAAAACAGAAGTATTCAGACCCTTTACTCAGTACTTTGTTGAAGCACCTTTGGCAGCGATTACAGCCTAGAGTCTTCTTGGGTGTGACGCTACAAGCTTGGCACACCTGTATTTGGGGAGTTTCTCCCATTCTTCTCTGCAGATCCTCTCAAGCTCTGTCAGGTTGTATGGGGAGCGTCGCTGCACAGCTATTTTCAGGTCTCTCCAGAGATGTTAGATCGGGTTCAAATCCGGGCTCTGGCTGATCTCTCTGTACTTTGCTCTGTTCATCTTTCCCTCGATCCTGACTAGTCTCCCAGTCCCTGCCGCCGAAAAACATCCCCACAGCATGATGCTGCCACCACCATGCTTCACCGTAGAGATGGTGCCAGGTTTCCTCGAGACGTGATGCTTGGCATTCAGGCCAAAGAGTTCAATCTTGGTTTCAACAGACCAGAGAATCTTGTTTCTCATGGTCTGAGAGTCTTTATGTGCATTTTGGCAAACTCCAAGCGAGCTGTCATGTGCCTTTTACTGAGGAGTGGCTTCCTTCTGGCCACTCTTCCCATAAAGGCCTGATTGGTGGAGTGCTGCAGAGATGGTTATCCTTCTGGAAGGTTCTCCCATCTCCACAGAGGAACTCTGGAGCTCTGTCAGAGTGACCATCGGGTTCTTGGTCACCTCCCTGACCAAGGCCCTTTTCCCCCAATTGCTCAGTTTGGCCGGGCGGCCAGCTCTAGGAAGAGTCTTGGTGGTTCCAAACTTCTTCCATTTAAGAATGATGGAGGCCACTGTGTTCTTGGGGACCTTCAATGCTGCAGACATTTGTTGGTACCCTTCCGTAGATCTGTGCCTTGACACAATCCTGTCTCGGAGCTCTACGGACAATTCCCTCGACCTCATGGATTGGTTTTTGCTCTGACATGCAGTGTCAACTGTGGGACCTTATATAGACAGGTGTATGCCTTTCCAAATGATGTCCAATCAATTGAATTTACCACAGGTGGACTCCAATCAAGTTGTAGAATCATACAATTACTGGTATGACGAGATCGGCACACCCCTATTTAAAACATTTGTTATGTTATTGATAAAGAAAACACTAACTACAGTATACTTACTGACATTAAGTAAACATTATTTTGGCCTACTCCCATTAATCGATATTAAGCTAGCCCCAGGCTAGTACTTTTCAGACCAGGCTAGTAGAAAACGTACCCAACTAGCCCGCTGGCAAGTGACATTTTGTCTTTTCAAATATCCTATGGCAGTTTGCAAATGGGCTAGTAAAAATGGTGGCTAGTGCCCAAAATCCTTAAATGACATCCCTGTCTACTCAAAGATACAAAGAATATCAACCATCAAATCAAATTGTATTTGTCACATGCGCTGAATACAAAACAGGTGTAGACCTTCCAGTGAAATGCTTACCGTAATATGGCCATCTTGTATATGAAACAAGGTCCTACAGCTTCAGCATTATTTCACCTAAAACACACTAGTCCTCCAATCTAGGAGGTTAATACAGAGTGTTATATCTAGAAGCGTTTGAAGGGCCCATATATAACGTGTTGCTGACGTGACATTTCCCAAAGCACCAGCGCAGGGTACATATACACACACAATACCCGTCAGAGGAAGATGGCCATATTACGGTGAATACCAGTCAAAAGTTTAGACACACCTACTCATTCGAGGGTTTTTCTTTCTTTTTACTATTTTCTACATTGTAGAATGATAGTGAAGACATCAAAACTATGAAATAACACATATGGAATCATGTAGTAACCCAAAAAGTGTTAAACAAATGAAAATTTATTTTATATTTGACATTCTTCAAAGTAGCCACCCTTTGCCTTGATGACAGCTTTGCACACTCTTGGCATTCTCTCAACCAGCTTCATGAGGTAGTCACCTGGAATGCATTTCAATTAACAGGTGTGCCTTCTTAACAGTTAATTTGTGGAATTTCTTTCCTTCTTAATGCGTTTCAGCCAATCAGTTGTGTTGTGACAAGGTAGCTCTATTTGGTAAAAGACCAAGTCCATATTATGGCAAGAGCAGCTCAAATAAGCAAAGAGAAACGACAGTCCATCATTACTTTAAGACATGAAGGTCAGTCAATCCGGAACATTTCAAGAACTTTGAAAGTTTCTTCAAGTGCAGTCGCAAAAACCATCAAGCACTGTGATGAAACTGGCTCTCATGAGGACTGCCACAGGAATGGAAGTTCCGAACGCTTTTATCCAGAGCGACTTACAGTTAGTGAGTGCATACATTTTCATACTGGTTCCCCGTGGGAAACGAACCCACAACCCCGGCGTTGCAAGCGCCATGCTCTACCAACTGAGCTACACGGGGACTAATCACTCAAACAAACTTCAGACGCGTTGTCACAAGAGGCCGAACAAAGTTCACCAAATCAACAGGTAGGAGGAGAAGGAATGAGAGAGATGTAGAGCTGGAGACGGGGGAGGCAGCCATCGCTCATCAGAACAGCCGTATATAGGAAAGTCATTTGGGTGATAGAAACGTCCCACTACGATGAGGAATGAGGAGTGAGGAGTGAGGAATGAGGAATGAGCCTCGGGTCTCTTTCTGAGTGAGCCGACTGAAAATATAAAAAGCTTTATACATGATAAGTCTAAGGACTACTTTAGGGAAATCTGCCAAGAAATCAGGTGGAGACGCCAGGGGAGGTCTGGAGCTTTGATTTCTGAGCTGCTGGGTCACTCTTTATCAGGAGTTAAACTTACTGCCACTGTAGCTAGGGGGTGGTTTCCTGGACACAGATTAAGCCTTGACCTGGACTAAAAATAATTACCCAAAGTGCTTTTCAGTCCAGGACTAGGCTTAATTTGTGTCTGGGAAAGCTGCCCTAGGATATCTACTGCCACCGTAGCTAAGAGAGGGCTGAACGCTGGCGATCTAATGGTTAATATGTTACAGCAGTTGTTAAGGAGGAGATGAGGCTTGACGCTTGGCTGACCTCCATAGTGTGTGTGTGTCTGTCTTGACTCTTACCTGACCTCCATAGTAAAACTCCTCCGAGTCAGCATCCCCCTCAGAGTCCTCCTCTATGGCATAGTGGCACTAGGGGATGTTACACACGTTATTACATACTATTATTATACAGTTATTAAAAACGTTAAGCACATTTATATTTACATTTTTTAAAAACATTTTAGTCATTTTAGCAGACGCTCTTATCCAGAGCGACTTACAGTTAGTGAGTGCATACATTCTTTTTTTATATTTCATACTGGCCCCCCCACGTGGGAATCGAACCCACAACCCTGGCTTTGCAAACGCCATGCTCTACCAACTGAGCTACATCCCCTGCCGGCCATTCCCTCCCCCTACCCTGGACGACGCTGGGCCAATTGCGCGCCGCCCCATGGGTCTCCCGGTCACGGCCGGCTACGACAGAGCCTGGATTCGAACCAGGATCTCTAGTGGCACAGTTAGCACTGCCTTAGACCACTGCGCCAACTCGGAAGAAACTATTACAAACTTATTACACACTATTAAACAGTTACTATAGTTAATACACACGTTGCTACACACTATTAGTAATTACACACGTTGCTACACACTATTAGTAATTACACACGTTGCTACACACTATTAGTAATTACACACGTTCTACAAACACACTATTAGTAAGTACAACCTGTTATTACATTATGATAACATATAAGTTAGAGACATGTTACTTTATTTCTAACCTGGGTCTCTCTTTCAGACGCTTATAACTATGCACGTAGCAGTGTGAGTCCTGACAAATTCTTAGACCTACCAACTAATTACCCAAATGCTTTCACCAGACTAGGTCCAATTGTTCGGAAACGCCCTAACCTATTACTCACCACTAATGCTAACGCGCACTATGGTAATTGTTACGCAGTTGATCAACCGGAGGAGATACTTAGTTGGCACTCCATGTTTAGCCTGTTACTCACTGACACTATAAAACTCACCCATAACAGTTCACCCTAAGTTAACCACACCTATCTACACTATATATTACACACGTTTACACACTATTATAATACACTATTACACCTATAAAACACATTAATTCCCACTTTAACATTTAGTCATTACACACTATTACCACACTATACACATTATTATCATACATCTTTTATTACACTATATACTCCCACTATACCCACAACCCTCATTCAACGCACTCATTAACACTATACCAATGACCCTACTCCTGCCGGCATTCACCCGGACCGCTGGGCATTGGCCACACCCTATGGTTCCCATCACGGCGGATTACACATGACAGCCTGGATTCGAACAGGATCTTATGAGCCACAAGCACTAGTTTACACCACTACAACTATTAACCACTATTACAAACTATTACACACTATTACAAAACATTCCACTACACTATAATACACCACTTACACCACTATTACACTACAATTAACCAGCTATTACACCACTATTATATTACAACACTTACACCACTATTATTACACCACTATTACACACTAATATTACACCACTATTAACCACTATTACCTTACACCACTTTATTACACCCTATTAACCACCACTACAGCTATTAACACTCACTTTAATTACAACCATTTATACACCATCTTTTTTAAAATACTCCACCCACTATTCCACCAACACCACGAGTAAGCCAACTATTACCCGCCTACCCACATACACGCCATTACCAATCAACCACTACTATTACACGCACTATACCCCCATACACACTATCACACTATCACCACAACATACACCACTATACAGTTACCCAACACCACTATTACACCACTACACTACCACCCTCACATTACACCCATACCAACCCTATTACACCCACTACACAACTCACAAACACACTATTACACCAACTATTACAACCACTATTACACACTAACACTAACTACCACTAACACCACTATTACACCACCATTTGACAAACACCACATTATTACACACCACTATATACAACACACCACATTAAAACACTACTTACACACCACTACACCACAAATATACAAAACACTATTACACTAACACCACTATCACACACGATTACACCACTATACACTATTACAAACACCACTAATATTAGCACCATAACGATTACACCACTTATTACACAACACTATTACACAACCCACACCACTATCACCCTATCACCACTTACATCCCACACTACACCACTACACTATTACACCACTACACTATAACCACTTCACACCACTAATTACCCCCTCTCACACCTATACAACCACTACCACTATTACACACTATACACCACCACTATTACACACACTATTACACACCCTATTACAAAACACCTACACACATTACACACCACCTATACACACTCATTACACCACTAACTCCTACACCACCAATACACACCATAACACCACTCACACCATATTACAACCAACACCACTATTACACCACTATTCAACACAACTATTACACCACTACATTACAAACACCACTACAACACCACAAACTTCCCACCACTACTATTACACCACTAAACATATTACAACACTCACTATTACACTATTACACTACACCACTATTACACACACATTACACAAACACTATTACACACACTATGACAACTACACCACCTCCACACTATTAAAAACCACTACTTACACCACTATCACAACACCACTATTACACCATACAACATTAAAACACCCCACTACACATTACAACCACTACACACACTAATTACACCCTACCCACTAACACCACTATACACCACTACACTAGTACACCACTATTACCCCCACTACACCACTATACACCACTATTACAACCACTACACCACTATTACAACCCCAAACTAACAACTATTACAACCACTATTACACCACTACACATTACACCACTATACACCACTACACTATTACACCACTATTACACCACAACACAACAACCACTATTACTACACATACACCACTATTACACCCACAACCCACTACACACTATTACACCACTATTAAAAAAACCACTAACACTATTCACCACTATTCCCATACACCACTACATATTACACCACTATTACACCACTACACTATTACACCACTATTACACACACCATTTACCCATCAACCACTACCACTAACACACATTACACCACTACACTATTAAAAAACCACACCATTACACCACATAACCACCTTACCACACTATTACACCACTACAACACACTATTACACCACTACACATTACACCCCACATTACACCCCACTACACATATTACAAACCACTATACACCACCAAATTACACCACTATTACACACTACACTATTAACCACTACACTATTAAACCACTACACTATTACACCATATTACACCACTTTACACTATGTACACACATTACACCACTACACATTACACCACTATTACACCACTACACTGTTACACCACTATTTACACACCACTACAACTATTACCACCACTATTACAACCACTACACTATACACCACTATTACACCACTCACTATGACACCTATTACAATTACACCACTACACTATTACACCACTATTACACACACACTATTACACCACCATTACAACCCTATTACACCACACAACCACTATTACACCCACTATTACACCACTACACTAACCACTTATTACACCACACTATACACATTTACACTTATGACACCACTATTACACCACTACACTATTACAGCAACCTATTACACCACTACTCACACTATTAAACACCACTATTACAACATACACACTAACTATTACACACCACTATTAAAACCCCTATTCACCACTATATTCACCCTACAATACACCATATTACACACTACAATACCCACTATTACACCACTATAACCACTATACACTATACACTTTAAGTCATTTAGCAGACGCTCTATCCAGAGCGACTTACAGGGAGGCATTAAGGGTTAAGTGCCTTGCTCAAGGGCACATTTACGTCATTTAAGCAGACGCTCTTATCCAGAGCGACTTACAAATTGGTGCATTCACCCTATACCAGTGGGAAAAGCACTTTACACATTTTTTTTTGGGGGGGGGTGGTGGGGGGGGTGTGGGGGGGGGGGTAGTAAGATTACTTTATCCTATCCCCGTATTCCTTAAAGAGGTGGGGTTTCAATAGTCTCCGGAAGGTGGGAGTGACTCCGCTCTCCTATTACTATTACACCACTACAACTATTACACCACTATTACCAAACACATCCCACTTACAACACCCACTTACACTATTACATACAACACACTAATTACAACCACTACACTATTAAAACCACTTATACCCACTACACTATTACACCACTACCCTATTACACCACTACAATTACACATATTACACCACTATTCAACAACCATAACACTATTACAACCACTATGACACACACTGATGTCACTAACAAGACAACCATTACACCACTAACTTTAAAACCACTATTACACCACTATTTACAACCACTACAACTATTACAACCACTACACGATACCTACACCACTATTACACCACTACACTATTACACCACTACACTATTACACCACTATTACACCACTATTACACTATTACACCACTACACTATTACACCACTATTACACCACTATTACACCACTATTACACCACTACACTATTACATATTATATACTAATAGTTATTACATACTACCATACAGTTAACATTTACACACTATAAAGTTCTTACATTATTACATACATTAGTTATTACATACTATTATAGTTACTACATAATACTTTACCGTTACACATATTACATACTATTATACAATTATACCACATTAGTTCACACTGAAAGGAGTTCTCTACAAACTGATATTAAATTGCTGACAGTTATAATGCTTAATGACTTGCTATGAGCATGTACAGTGAGGGAAAAAAGTATTTGATCCCCTGCTGATTTTGTACGTTTGCCCACTGACAAAGAAATGATCAGTCTATAATTTTAAATGGTAGGTTTATTTGAACAGTGAGAGACAGAATAACAACAAAAAAATCCATAAAAACGCATGTCAAAAATGTTATAAAATGATTTGCATTTTAATGAGGGAAATAAGTATTTGACCCCCTCTCAATCAGAAAGGTTTCTGGCTCCCAGGTGTCTTTTATACAGGTAACGAGCTGAGATTAGGAGCACACTCTTAAAGGGAGTGCTCCTAATCTCAGTTTGTTACCTGTATAAAAGACACCTGTCCACAGAAGCAATCAATCAATCAGATTCCAAACTCTCCACCATGGCCAAGACCAAAGAGCTCTCCAAGGATGTCAGGGACAAGATTGTAGACCTACACAAGGCTGGAATGGGCTACAAGACCATCGCCAAGCAGCTTGGTGAGAAGGTGACAACAGTTGGTGCGATTAGTCGCAAATGGAAGAAACACAAAATAACTGTCAATCTCCCTCGGCCTGAGGCTCCATGCAAGATCTCACCTCGTGGAGTTGCAATGATCATGAGAATGGTGAGGAATCAGCCCAGAACTACACGGGAGGATCTTGTCAATGATCTCAAGGCAGCTGGGACCATAGTCACCAAGAAAACAATTGGTAACACACTACCCCGTGAAGGACTGAAATCCTGCTGCGTCCGCAAGGTCCCCCTGCTCAAGAAAGCACATATACAGGCCCGTCTGAAGTTTGCCAATGAACATCTGAATGATTCAGTGGAGAACTGGGTGAAAGTGTTGTGGTCAGATGAGAAATCCTGATATAGAGTGAGAGCTCTTTGGCATCAACTCAACTCGCCGTGTTTGGAGGAGGAGGAATGCTGGCTATGACCCCAAGAACACCATCCCCAACATCAAACATGGAGGTGGAAACATTATTCTTTGGGGGTGTTTTTCTGCTAAAGTGACAGGACAACTTCACTGCATCAAAGGGACGATGGACGGGGCCATGTACCGTCAAATCTTGGGTGAGAACCTCCTTCCCTCAGCCAGGGCATTGAAAATGGGTTGTGGATGAGTATTCCAGCATGACAATGACCCAAAACACACGGCCAAGGCAACAAAGGAGTGGCTCAAGAAGAAGCACATTAAGGTCCTGGAGTGGCCTAGCCAGTCTCCAGACCTTAAGCCCATAGAAAATCTGTGGAGGGAGCTGAAGGTTCGAGTTGCCAAACGTCAGCCTCGAAACCTTAATGACTTGGAGAAGATCTGCATAGAGGAGTGGGACAAAATCCCTATTGAGATGTGTGCAAACCTGGTGGCCAACTACAAGAAACGTCTGACCTCTGTGATTACCAACAAGGGTTTTGCCACCAAGTACTAAGTCATGTTTTGCAGAGGGGTCAAATACTTATTTCCCTCATTAAAATGCAAATCAATTTATAACATTTTTGACATGCGTTTTTCTGGATTTTTTTGTTGTTATTCTGTCTCTCACTGTTCAAACAAACCTACCATTAAAACTATAGACTGATCATGTATTTGTCAGTGGGCAAACTTACAAAATCCAAATACTTTTTTCCCCTCACTGTATGAGCCTTTATAATGTGTTATTAATCAGTGATGTACATCTCACCTGGTTCTTGTCTATCTGAAGTTTTGACTTGATGGACAGGCAGCAGTTGGCGTCATTATTGACCCTAATCTCTGTTGACAACACACACACACACAAAACAATACAGTTAGCTAGGACGTCTATTCATCTACGTATCTCCTATACCAAGTATCTGCTACACAGACAGTCTGATAAACAGAGATAGAACAGCAGAGAGACTACAGACAGTCTGATAAACAGAGATAGAACAGCAGAGAGACTACAGACAGTCTGATAAACAGAGATAGAACAGCAGAGAGACTACAGACAGTGTGATAAACAGAGATAGAACAGCAGAGAGACTACAGACAGTCTGATAAACAGAGATAGAACAGCAGAGAGACTACAGACAGTGTGATAAACAGAGATAGAACAGCAGAGAGACTACAGACAGTCTGATAAACAGAGATAGAACAGCAGAGAGACTACAGACAGTCTGATGAACAGAGATAGAACAGCAGAGAGACTACAGACAGTCTGATGAACAGAGATAGAACAGCAGAGAGACTACAGACAGTCTGATGAACAGAGATAGAACAGCAGAGAGACTACAGACAGTCGGATAAACAGAGATAGAACAGCAGAGAGACTACAGACAGTCTGATAAACAGAGATAGAACAGCAGAGAGACTACAGACAGTCTGATGAACAGAGATAGAACAGCAGAGAGACTACAGACAGTCGGATAAACAGAGATAGAACAGCAGAGAGACTACAGACAGTCTGATGAACAGAGATAGAACAGCAGAGAGACTACAGACAGTCGGATAAACAGAGATAGAACAGCAGAGAGACTACAGACAGTCTTATAAACAGAGATAGAACAACAGAGAGACTACAGACAGTCTGATGAACAGAGATAGAACAGCAGAGAGACTACAGACAGTCTGATAAACAGAGATAGAACAGCAGAGAGACTACAGACAGTCTGATAAACAGAGATAGAACAGCAGAGAGACTACAGACAGTGTGATGAACAGACGTACCTGTTGCTATTCTGTGGAAGATGGCGGGGATCGGGTCTCTGGTGACTACAACTTCCTCCTCGTTCTCAGAGTTTGACACGTACGTGTTGTCTGGTGAAAATAAGAATAAAAGACAAACATTTGGAGGCGAACTAGAGAAGTACTCATAACCCATATAGCACATTCAGAAACTGACTTAACACACAATACTTTGCATGGTACCCGGGAGGTTAAATCAGACAGGATGTACTCCACTGAATCCCCTTTAGCTGTACAGTTAAAAAATGTTCAAACTAAGCCAACCAATATGGATCCAACAGTTCCACTAGCCCAAGTATCTCCAACAGGAGCTAGGACCAACAAAGCATTTAGGCTATTTAGAAGAAAAGCATTTTTTTGAATGCAGGGGGAATGCATTATTTTTATAATACTTTTTTTTGGGGGGGGCAGATCAGCTTTAATATTGCAGATAGAATGTGGCTTCCATCAATGTAATTGTCTGCATCATTTCCAATCCCCCATATACATTTTTTTTTTTAAATAAATTATATATATATATATATATATACACACACATTATATATATATATATATATATATACACACACATTACATACACATATATATATATATATATATATAAAATGTGTGTATATATATACAGTGGGGAGAACAAGTATTTGATACAGGTTTTCCTACTTACAAAGCATGTAGAGAGAGGTCTGTAATTTTTATCAAAGGTACACTTCAACTGTGAGAGACGGAATCTAAAATCCAGAAAATCACATTGTATGATTTTTAAGTAATTAATTTGCATTTTATTGCATGACATAAGTATTTGATCACCTACCAACCAGTAAGAATTCCAGCTCTCACAGACCTGTTCGTTTTTCTTTAAGAAGCCCTCCTGTTCTCCACTCATTACCTGTATTAACTGCACCTGTTTGAACTCATTACCTGTATAAAAGACACCTGTCCACACACTCAATCAAACAGACTCCAACCTCTCCACAATGGCCAAGACCAGAGAGCTGTGTAAGGACATCAGGGATAAAATTGTAGACCTGCACAAGGCTGGGATGGGCTACAGGACAATAGGCAAGCAGCTTGGTGAGAAGGCAACAACTGTTGGCGCAATTATTAGAAAATGGAAGAAGTTGAAGATGACGGTCAATCACCCTCGGTCTGGGGCTCCATGCAAGATCTCACCTCTTGGGACATCAATGATCATGAGGAAGGTGAGGGATCAGCCCAGAACTACACGGCAGGACCTGGTCAATGACCTGAAGAGAGCTGGGACCACAGTCTCAAAGAAAACCATTAGTAACACACTACGCCGTCATGGATTAAAATCCTACAGCGCACGCAAGGTACCCCTGCTCAAGCCAGCGCGTGTCCAGGCACGTCTGAAGTTTGCCAATGACCATCTGGATGATCCAAGGGAGGAATGGGAGAAGGTCATGTGGTCTGATGAGACAAAAATAGAGCTTTTTGGTCTAAACTCCACTCGCCGTGTTTGGAGGAAGAAGAAGGATGAGTACAACCCCAAGAACACCATCCCAACCGTGAAGCATGGAGGTGGAAACATCATTCTTTGGGAATGCTTTTCTGCAAAGGGGACAGGACGACTGCACCATATTGAGGGGAGGATTGATGGGGCCATGTATCGCGAGATCTTGGCCAACAACCTCCTTCCCTCAGTAAGAGCATTGAAGATGGGTCGTGGCTGGGTCTTCCAGCATGACAACAACCCGAAACACACAGCCAGGGAAACTAAGGAGTGGCTCCTTAAGAAGCATCTCAAGGCCCTGGAGTGGCCTTGCCAGTCTCCAGACCTGAACCCAATAGAAAATCTTTGGAGGGAGCTGAAAGTCTGTATTGCCCAGCGACAGCCCCAAAACCTGAAGGATCTGGAGAAGGTCTCTATGGAGGAGTGGGCCAAAATCCCTGCTGCAGTGTGTGCAAACCTGGTCAAGACCTACAGGAAACGTATGATCTCTGTAATTGCAAACAAAGGTTCTGTACCAAATATTAAGTTCTGCTTTTCTGATGTATCAAATACTTGTCATGCAATAAAATGCAAATTAATTACTTAAAAATCATACAATGTGATTTTCTGGATTTTTGTTTTAGATTCCGTCTCTCACAGTTGAAGTGTACCTATGATAAAAATTACAGACCTCTACATGCTTTGGAAGTAGGAAAACCTGCAAAATCGGCAGTGTATCAAATACTTGTTCTCCCCACTGTGTGTGTATATATATATATATATATATATATATATATATATATATATATATATATATATATATATATATATATATATACACACACACTACCATTCAAAAGTTTGAGCTCACTTAGAAATGTCCTTGTTTTCTAAAGAAAAGCACATTTTTTGTACATTAAAATAACATCAAATTGATCAGAAATACAGTGTAGACATTGTTAATGTTGTAAATGGCTATTGTAGCTGGAAACGGCTGATTTTTAATGGAATATCTACAATGGCACGTTGTGTTTGCTAATCCAAGTTTATCATTTTAAAAGGCTAATTGATCATTAGAAAACCCTTTTGCAATTATGTTAGCACATCTGAAAACTGTTGTGCTGATTAAAGAAGCAATAAAACTGGCCTTCTTGAGACTAGTTGAGAAACAGACGCCTCACAGGTCCTCAACTGGCAGCTTCATGAAATCAGTCCTATTTATGATATAATTTACAAAGATTATAAAAATGTTTAACATTTTCTTCAAAAAAGTATGTTTTTATCAATTAGAATATTTGAGTTCAACCATAATCCGGTGGATTAAACTGAAATTGCAACCAACTTTCTATGGCTTGTTTTAAAAATAGCAATATTTTGGAGATGATTTCATTTTCAAATAACCGAAAGTGAGATCTAATGTGAATAAAGGGAAAAAGGCTATTCTTGAACATGGGGTGAGACATTCTTACTAATCTGCTACAGAACCAGTTCGGATTTAAGTATAACTTTTGTATGACAGAAGCCTTTAGTGAGAGATGTAATGCTTTAATATTTAATAATTTATGCTATTCTAAAATGGATAAAATTGTTTTTTCCCCCCTCATCAATCTACACACAATACCCCATAATGACAAAGCAAAAACAGGTTTTTAGAAATGTTTGCAAATGTATTAAAAATAAAAAACGGAAATATCACATTTACATAAGTATTCAGACCCTTTACTCAGTACTTTGTTGAAGCACCTTTGGCAGCGATTACAGCCTTGAGTCTTCTTGGATATGATGCTACAAGCTTGGCACACCTGTATTTGGGGAGTTTCTCCCATTCTTCTCTGCAGTTCCTCTCAAGCTCTGACAGGTTGGATCGGGAGTGTCACTGCACAGCTATTTCCAGATCTCTCCAGAGTTGTTCAATCGGGCTCTCGCTGGGCCACTCAAGGACATTCAGAGACTTGTCCCGAAGCCACTCCTGCGTTGTCTTGGCTGTGTGCTTAGTGTTGTTGTCCTGTTGGAAGGTGAACCATCGCCCCAGTCTGAGGTCCTGAGCGCTCTGGAGCAGGTTTTCATCAAGGATCTCTCCGTACTTTGCTCCGTTAATCTTTCCTCGATCCTGCCGCCGAAAAACATCCCCACAGCATGATGCTGCCACCACCATGCTTCACCATAGGGATGGTGCCAGGTTTCCTCCAGATGTGACGCTTGGCATTCAGGCCAAAGAGTTCAATCTTGGTTTCATCAGACGGACAATTCCGGACCTCATGTCTTGGTTTTTGCTCTGACATGCACTGTCAACTGTGGGACCTTATATAGACAGGTGTGTGCCTTTCCAAATCATGTCAAATCAATTGAATTTACCACAGGTGGACTCCAATCAATTTGTAGAAACATCAAGGATGATCAATGGAAACAGGATGCACCTGAGCTCAATTTTGAGTCTCATAGCAAAGTGTCTGAAAACGTATGTTGTATTTAAGTGTGTATGGTAGCAAATAATAATAATAATAATATGCCATTTAGCAGACGCTTTTATCCAAAGCAACTTACAGTCATGTGCGCATACATTTTTACGTATGGGTGGTCCCGGGGATCGAACCCACTACCCTGGCGTTACAAGCACCATGCTCTACCAATTGAGCTACAGAGGACCATCATAATTTGGTTGTATAATCCAGAAAGGTTAGAAAAATCCAGAGGTTGGAATGCATTATTTAAATTATTTGTCGTAATGATGAAAATAATTTTCTAGTCACCAGCTGTTCCCGTCCATCCGTGGGATTAAAACGACATCCAACTGTCACTAGTTCGATTTTTATGTGATGTATTTTCTATCCAACACAATCAGTTAAGGAAGGCTGGACTAAAGAATGTCTTGAAGTAGGAAATGGTCGTTAAAAAAGCACACCAGACACCCACTGCATATTCTTTAAACCCTGACCTGTTCACCGGACGTGCTACCTTGTCCCTGACCTGCTGTTTTCAACTCTCTCTCTCTCTACCGCACCTGCTATTTCAACCTCTAAATGCCCGTCTATGAAAAGCCTGATGTACTGACCTGTTGCCACATCTACAACCACTGTGATTATTATTTGAACCTGCTGGTCATCTATGAACGTTTGAACATCTTGGAGAAAAATCTGGCCTTAATGGCCATGTACTGTTATAATCTCCACCTGGCATAGCCAGAAGGGGACTGGTCACCCCTCAGAGCCTGGTTCCTCTCTAGGTTTCTGCCTTTCTAGGGAATTTTTCCTAGCCACCGTGCTTCTACATCTGCATTGCTTGCTGTTTGGGGTTTTAGGCTGGGTTTCTGTATAGCACTTTGTGACATCTGCTGATGTAAAAAATAGCTTTATAAATCAATTTGATTGCTTGATTTAAACATCGTCTAGGCTCTACCCTTGATTCACCGACCCAACAGAGAGCTGAAAGCAATAAATCTTTCATGGATATTAAGTTCCATTGCGTGACACATCCTAAAACTGCTTTCTCCTTCGGTCCACAGTGACATAAAAACGTATTGACTGAATTAGGACGAAATTACAGGGGCTCGCTGACAGTCACACCGGCGGAGAAAGAGGATGTGTTCCAAATCACACCTCAACGAACTGGATGGGGCCATA